AAATCACCCATATAAGGACTGCTCCGTACCACCCTTAACCAAATGGACAGGCATAGCTTTTCGTTGATACGCTGAAACGCGGAATCAAGAAACTAGAAGGAAGGAGAGGCCAATAGAAGAAACTCTAAGGGCCGCATGCACTAACATGGCCGCGGGGAGGGGATCGCAGCTTATAAAAAAGCTTCATATTTCGAAACTCCAGATACTTGGATTTCACTTTGTGTGCCTAACCGTAAGTATTCCTACTATCCTTCACTATGAACCTGTTGAACAGGAGCAAAAAGCTGTACAAATCGCATTTTCCTGCTTTTGTATGATCCCGATGATCCCCGGCGCTTTTCTTTGAAGTCATTTTTCTTTCTCCGAAATTAATGAATAACTTCCAAAGTTGTGCACATTATCTGACCCAACAGTGCTAAGCATGTTGCTGATAAGAATAAATGATGTTTTGAAGTCAAGAAATTTTCGATCCACAAGTCGAATTCTGGGGTTTACCGAAAGATTCAGTTTTTCAAAAATTCATTTGTTCTCACCAGCAACATGCTTACCACTATTGTGTTAAATGTTCAGTACAACTTTGGAAGGTTTTCGTTAAAGGCAGTGTCCAGGCTAAACCTAACCCCCTCCGATTAGTGTCGCTCCTGAATGTAGGCCCCAGAAAAGGGGCATCTGCGTTGGTCCGGTCTTCTAACGTTGTCTCTGAATGGAGATAAGGGGCCTGAAAGTCCCTGGCTGGGCAGAGTCTGATATCAGACTCCGCCCACCAGGGACTGCTCGCTACCTTGTCAATACGTGCCTCCCGACAAGTATTGACAAGGTAGTGAGCAGAAGCTGCACACTGCACACTGCAATGCAACTGCACCCATGCAGTTGCAGCTCCTTCCCGCTGGCCTGCTGACGGGGACGAGCAATTCGAAACTCGTCCGCGCCCTCAAGACTGGGTCCCCAAGAATCGGGTTTTCTGTGAATTTTAGAGAGTTTGAAGTTTGGAACAGTAATCAGGGCCACGGAGAGGCCCCAGAATGACGAAAACGTGGGGGATTAAATTCTGGATGGACGCTGCCTTTAACTTCGGAAAAAGAAAAATGACTTTAAAGAAGAGCGCCGGGGATCATTAGGGATCATAGAAAAGCTGGAAAATGCGGTTCGTACAGCTTCTCGCTCCTGTTCCACATGTTCATAGTGAAGGATAGTAGGAATACTTACGGACAGGTAGACAGCGTGAAATCCAGATATCTGGAGCTTCAAAATATAAAGCCTTCTTTTGAGCTGCGATCCCCTCCCGCCATGTTAGTGCATGCGGCCCTAAATGTGGTATTGCAAGCGTACACCAAACAAACGACAAGACGCCAGCGGAATTGTTCTTAGGCAGAAACTTGCGCACAAAATTAAGTCTGTTAATACCAATGACAGAAGATGTAGAAGACCACTCGCACGAAGAAGACCGGAGCGCATGAAGGATCAGTTTGACCAGAAGCATGGAGTCGTTCGAAAAAATTTGGAAGTTGGTGACCTGGTATACGCCAAGCAATGGAAGCCACCCCACTTCCTTTGGATGGAAGCAGTGGCGTACCCAGGATTTCGGCTCGGGGGGAGGGGCGACAAAAAATTTTTTCTTATAAAGGTGCGTGGCGTCAGCCACGCACCGAGAAAATTTTTTTGGTATGCTTCTAAAAATTTTCGCGGGCCCTTAACCCCAAAATTCTAGAAAAAAGAGGCGTGGCTTCAGCCACGCCCCCGAAAAAATTTTTATAAGGCTGGATTGAATTTTTTAAAAATTTTAAAAATTATTTTAATTATTTACAAGTGCAGATAAGTCATTTGCACAATTTTATAACCCATATAAGTAACTTTTAAAAATTTCGCGACCCGTTCTCGGGGGGGGGGGGAGCGCGCCCCTCCCCCCCCGCCTCCCTCTCGGTACGCCACTGGATGGAAGGAATAGTAATGAGACGTAGTGGACGCGTCAACTATGAAGTAATGGTTGGAAATGAAATCTGCAAGAAGGACGCAGATCAGCTACGTTATCAAAGCGAGCGAACAGCTCGCAGTCCAACGGCAACTTAAACAACAATCCGAAGCTTTAAGATATTGTTAGACGTTTTACCGAGGACGAGACTTTACATAGGAATGGCAGTGTAGCTAGAGAAAGTTCCGAGCAAGCGATTGCGAGCGACGTGCCAGCACCCGTGGATTCAACGACATCGACGTCGACATCAAGCCGCGGGCCCTCCACGCCACCGACAACGCTTCGGAGATCGAGCAGAACGAGAAGACCTGTACAGCGGTTCCATCCTAATTCATAGTATGTTACTGTATGTTTGTTTCATTTTTTTAGTTGTTTATATGATAGTGTTGCCTATGCATGACCGATTTTTATTAGCTGTTCATACTTGCAGTTCATGCTTTTGCCGTAGGCTAGTTTTGTGTAACCACCCAGGGGGGGGGTGAGGTGTTGTGTTAGTGATTGTTAATGATCAGTTGTTGTTCCTCATAGTCGATCGCAACCTCAGAGTGTGCGGGAATTGAGCGCTATAAAAGGCGCTCACTCATAGCCTCAGTCAGTTTTATCGTACTGCAGTTCAGTCCTTGTTCACTCATCCGCCCTGGGTTTTGTCTACTTTATTTACTTCTAATAAATATTCCTATTTCTTCTTCTCTCTCTTCCCGAAGATACGAAGCCTTGAAGAGTGTCCAAACGTGGAGGACACAACAAAGCTCAAAAGAGAAGAAAGAATAACAAATAGTTGTTACATCATACTGCCACAGACTCTTTCAGGCAGTCTTATCATGACTGTTGAGTTTATGCTATTAGCCTAAAAGATTTTCTACAGGGTTCTTTGCCTACAACTATCAACAATCTAACTGCCGCGTTACCTTGTTTCAGGATGAAGGTTCATGACTCTCAAGCGTAAAGAATATGAATTAGTTCCTCTATAATCTTTATTTCACTTATCTACAGGGTAGGAAAAGGCGGAGAAACATTTAGTTAAAGCAGCACAGTTATAAGCGTCATTGCCTTCTCGAGCCTCATAACTTACTGTAAGCGTGACTCTATTCAAGTCTCAAACTCTAAGCAGGATGTACTATTTTGTGGGTTTTATCTCATGACAGAACAGAATGTATTGCCTTACCGATGAACATAGCCTAAGGATTGGACGAGTATCTTGACACCCTCTAAACAATATGGCGTTCAATAGATTGGAAAAATTATTTCTCCTTTCTCTGCCACAGCGGCAATGTGTATGAAAGAAATATGAAAAACATTATTCAGCATAGTTCAATAACTATAAGATGTTGTCAAACAGATCAACAGTTCATAATCCAGAAGTATTCACTATCATAGACGTGTGTAAAAGTGCACACACATGGCTTTCTCTGATGGCTTTCCGAAGATATCTCTTACATTCCATGTCTTTCTGCTTTGAAAACAAGATTGCCAATTTTAAGATTGTTTCCATATTTCGCTTTCTTTAAATCTGGGCAGTTTCCATATTTCGCTTTCTTTAAATCTGGGCATCGTGTGTATTCTTCAAGTGTTCTGAGCCACACAGGATTTTTAGATGGTCTTTATTTATCCAATCACGGCCTAACATTTAGACGCCTTCGTCTTTTTCAGAGGCCGGAAGACCACCGCTATACATGGTATTCCGCACCGGAAATGATGGTCGTGGTGGAAAAATAAATAATAAGAACAGTAAGAATAATTCTTCCGCCACGACCATCATTTCCGGTGCGGAATACCATATATAGTGGTGGTCTTTCGGCCTCTGAGGAAGAAGGCGTCGAAACGTTAGGCCGTGATTGGATAAATAAAGACCATCTAAAAAACCTGTGTGGCTCAGAACACTTGAAGATTTTTAAAATTGCCAATCTCTCTTGCTAATGTTTTTCTGGAGAATGGAGACCCTATCTTGCCGTTTAGTGCGGGTCATCACGCGCAAACCTAATTGTCTGCATTAACGATATAGGCTTTTTACAAATGAAGCCATGCATGTTAATTGCGGCTCAGGAGAATACTTGAAAATGTGATCTGACAGTTAATTTAGTTTCTTCTCTTTTGCAAGTCGAAGAGATCTCTTCTTTGCAAGGGCCGTTTGAGAAGATCAACAACCAGTAAGCCCTTTTCCTGAAAATCTTTCCTTCTTTGTTCGTACCGAGTTGGCTAGCCAACCTGGTATCTTCAGCCTTCCCATACACTATACGGGTAAGAAAAAAAGATCTTCTTTGAGGCATTCTCACATTTGAAGGGAAAAAAAACGGCCCGAGTCTTCTAGCAAGGAACTGATATCTTTGATGTTTTCACATGTTATGGTTTTTGAATGACTTTCTGCATGAATTTTTGATCTTTTGGCAGGCTGTATGAAACTCATAAGTAAATAAATAGATAGGTGGATAGATAAGGACGTTTTATTCAAAAAAAAACTGAGGTCAAGCTCTGAAAAAATTCAGTCACCTCAAAAATTGAGTTTTTCATAGAAAAATTCCCCAAACGTCTCATTTGAAGATTTGATGAGCATATAAGTTTATAGACACGCTTACAAAACTTATTTGATCTTTTGTCATTACATGCTATTTTTGGACAATTTTTAGACGTTTTTTCAATCTTTGGCGCACTTTTGCTTAGAAAATAAAAAACTAAATAAACAAATAATTTACGCAAGAAGGAGCTAATCTCAAAATACAGTTACATCAGAACTAGACTTTAGCTTGAAAGATCCTTCAAACCTCTCATATGAACATTGGCGAACGGAAAAACTCATACTTACGCTTGTTAAGTTCATCTCATTGTGAAAGATATGACAGTAAGTCAGAATAAGGTCTGTAGCATGACACATATTGAGAGTTAGGATAGCATGAACGAATTTTACCGTTTTCGTTCTTCTTCTTCTTCTTATACAGGGAGAAAAACCAAAGTATGTATGGTTGATCATTTTCATCATCATGCGTGTAATGTAACTACCAAAAATCTGTTATAACTGCAGAAATTATGTACTTTTTTTTATGATTCTATCACGAATAGTCAATGTCAAGATAGTAACGTAGAAAACGGACATTATCTTTTGTTGATACAATGGAACACACTTCTAATTTGTTTCATCCACAAAGACCTAGACTAATTTGACAGCTGGTTCCTATTGGGCATGCTGAGCATACTAATCCAACGTTGTACATCGGATAGTAGATGGCATTTCCCCTAAATCGCTTGCTAACTGTTTCAAATTCTCTATGAAAAGCTGCAAACCCTCACCTTGGAAGATATCTGCATATAACAACATACTCGGAAGAGCACTGGCCAATTGCGCATCCCAATCTCCTCGTAGAAGACCAAGCCATCTACAAAAAAAATTGAGCTGGAACGCATTCTCAGTTCGAGTTTGTAAACATACTCGGGTATAGGAAGCTATGGGACTGTCGTAATGCATTGGGTAAAACATTGCAGTGGCTCCAGGTCCAGGATATTGGCGCACGACTTTCCACCACGCTACCACTGCCTCAAATTCTTTGTGAGTTCAGAGTAAGTTCATTAAATTGCCTTACGTTCTTGATAGCATCTCTGTAAGTGGGAACTTCGCTGCTAATAGGGACTCGATGGATATTTTCCCCAGCTTCCTCATCATTTCTAGTGATGTAGGTGGTAGTTGGGCAAGTTTTGACATAATCAATGGCATTTTTTTCTAGCTCGCAGTCCCAGATCTAGATCGCGAAGTTTATTTATAACTTTGCTAACTGCAAATACTTACCAATAAGAACATGTTTGTAGCAGTAGGTAACAGTTGATTTGTGTTATCAGTTACCTGACCTTTAGCTAGTATTGATCTGAAAAATCACTATTATGCTAGCATTGTTTTGAATTGGCCTATACCTCAACCAAATAGCAAAAAAAATTGCCTGCGGTAATTTGTTGTATCAAGAAAATGCATTCGAAGCGTATCGGTCATCCCAATGTTCTCCGGACATTGCATGTTTTCGCCTGAAATTAAGAAAAGTGAGTTGTTCTGCACAAAATTATACCATTCATATCATCATGCTTGTATGTTTTTAATCATTTTAATCATTCCGCAGCTTCACCCATCCCGCTGATTCTGACAAAATCGATTTTTTCTCAGAATTTTTACAAATTCCTAGTGACTTTGTGTGCCGCATAAAATCAGAAATAGAAATTGATATATCATGTAGCCGAAGAGACAGTTATTTCTGCATTGGCCCGAGCAATTTCTGCAGATTGGCCTCTCAAATGTTCTTACAATGTTAGAGAAACCTTAGGTTAAAACATGAGTATTGAATTCGACAAAAAATTGCTTTTTCGTCCAGGAAAATCTGAATCCCAACGAACCCTAGCTTGTTCAGACATATGCTCTCCACAACAGAAATTTCGTATAGTTGCTGTATTTTTATCTGGTTTGAAATCTAGAACAAAAAAAGTTGGAGTAGAGATGTCACTCCTTTTGAGGTTTTTTGTTAATTCGAATGTTTTGATTTCTGGCCAGAAAGAATATGTGAATATGAATATCGATATAGGGAGTATAGGGAGCAAATGAAAGGTCCAGGTCCATAAGATCCATGAAACTCGTTTTTTGATAATCTCAAATTTTTAAATTTTGGCTTTATGCTTCATGAGGGTCAAATTAATGAGAATTTTTGGAACTCCTGTAGAGCTCGCTTTGCTCTATCGCATGGTAATTTGAATCTTATGTAAAATTTCAAATTTAGATAGGTTCGTAATTCAAAATAATCTCATGAGACAACCCGATTAATTTTTTTGAATCATTCCTCCGCGTGCCTCTTTGCGTATATGGAGCATGGCTACAATCTATAACCCCCCACTCTTTCTATTTTTTTTTCAAAACTTTAGCATGTGCACCATTGAAATTTATCAAAAAACAAACGCTTGGCGCGATAGATACTGCGTTCAAATAAGGTTGCTTGGTTTACTAAATAAAAAATCTTGCTGTCAGGCTCATTTCGAGAAAAAAAATATATCGCCTCAAAAAATTCCTTTTCCTCTGTCTTTGTTTCCAAAAAAGAAAATTTTCATATTAAGTGGTCAACTGTGATCCCATTAGTTGATTGTAATCTTTGAAGGTGAAAAAGAATGTTGCCTGGATTTGCAAGCGGCAGAATCGCTTCAGATTTTGCTGGTGTCGTTGTTGCTTGCGTTGTTGTCGCCAATGTTGTTGTCACTCTTGTTGTTGTAGTTGATGTTGTTGTTGGCGGTGTGCTTGTTGTTGTCCTTGTAGTTGTGGTCGATGTTGTTGTTTTCGAGTTTGTTGTAGTTGTTAATGGGGCATTACGGTAACATAAACTTTCTGCAGCTTCACAGATTGTATCTGCCGGACAGCTGTCACAATTGCCATTCCCCTGTTCATAAATGATTTCTCCATTTGTCAGTTCCCTAAGATAAAAATTTACGACGTGCCATTTTTACTTAAACAATTTTATGTTCTTTCCAAAAAAGTGTTGTTTCAATAATGCACTTTTGGTGTAGTTCGGTGTCAAACAAATAGCTCTAAACGTCGACTTTTTAAAATGTTATGACTTTATGTCTAATATCAAACCTAGCAATATAAATTCATGTCACTTGTCATAACGGAGACGCTCTCAATCACAGAATACTGCAAATACAAGGAGTCGAAGTTATGGAAACTATTCGCCTTTTATTTTAAACTTACCGCAAATCGGATATAATAACGATTAACAACTACTTTGAAAGGTGTCCAAGCTCATTCCTCTTTCCAGCACTTCTTATCTTTTTGAACTAATGAATTCATCCGTAGATACTCAAAAGACCAATAATCGAATTTCATCGTTTTAGGCTTGCTAACTTTGGTCAATCATCAAGATTTTCATTCTTCAGCGTTTGAGGGATATCGATCGAATAGAAATGGAGAAAATTTTTGGAAAAATTTGTCTGAGCTTTTTCCAATCTTCAGGGGGCTTTTCAACAAGATTTTTCGATAGCTTTTCATTTTTTTGTAAAATTGTTGGAAACATGTGTCTAATTTTAGAAAAACCTAAAAATTCATAGGTTTAAAACTCGGCTATCACAATGTAATTTTGTAAAGTAATGAAACAAATATGACAATTAATAATTTTTGAAACAGCTATGCGCAGGTGTAGAATTGAAAGGTAAAAACATTGGGTTACATTTGCTTATTTCTCCATTTGAGTGGCTTTGTGAAGGTCCATAATTGCACAAAGAAAAAGGCGAACTGCGTCGGCTACCGTTTAGAACACTTTCTCCAACATCCTATCTGATCTTAGGATAAATTCAAAAAGACGTGAAAAGCTCTCATTACTTTTATGCAGCCTTCACGACTACGGGGAGGGAGTTATGTGAGAAAATAAAAATAGATTTTTAACGATGTTTTAAATCCACATTCATAACCCTACAAACAGGTAAGACGCATACGTATTGATCTGATAGCTCGAAACTCAATTCGAAACTCAGATAAAGGCTAAGGCTTGGTCAAAAGGACTTACAAGGAAAGCTCGCTTAGTTGAAGTGGCGATCCGGAAGGTGATGTATGCCTACGAGTTGAGCTCAACTTCAAAGATCTCAATCATAGCTTGTCTGCGAAGCGTTTCTACAGGAAATTATGAGCTTTTTTATATCCATAACGGAAGTGTGGTTTAGAAGAAAAATGACTTGTGGCAGCATGGATGAACAACACTAGAAAGGTTAAGATGATATTAGATTGAGCCTACAGAGCTTATTAAGTACTTTGGCTGAGCGTGCATAATTTTGTGCAAGAACTACCGTTATTTTACAACCAAAAATTCATGAAAATTTGGCTTTAAAAAAGCGCATGACTTTTTTCAAAGGAGAGCAACGCAAATATAGAAGGTATAACTGACATCAGCGTCCAAAGCTCTATCCTTGAGCATACATCACCTTCCGAACCTCCACTTCGACCAAACGAACTTCCCTGGTTACTCTCAAAAAAGTTCAAAAAAATTCTTACGGTTGATTTGTAAGACAATACAGGATGTACGTCGGATGTGCACCTGAGCATTTCCGCCAGCCGCACCCTATTTCCGTGATCGATGCTCGAATCAGCTGCAATTGCCGCATAAATTATAAACAATTTTATTATTTTCATATTGTTAATGTTAGTATTTCTCACGTTTGCGTAGTTTAGTAAATTCGTTTGTCCGTCATAAGTGACAGCATTTGTATTCACAACAAGTGCTTCACTATCGATAGCCAGGAAAAGATCACCTATCACAAATGATAATTCGTAATCATAGTCATAATCTCTGGAATATAAATATTATATTGTTTGCAATTAGATCACAAAAATAAAACTGAATTCATAATGTCTCAAAAATAGTTAAAATTGAGGTCGAAGCAGCATGTTTGATGACATTTGCTTTTATTGTCGAAAAAAAATGCCACCGAAATTGGAGGTTCTGGAAAGGTTGAGGGAAAATTTATAAAAATATGCAGCTAAATAGTTTCTTTGAAAAAGAAAACTCTGCCTTTTTTCCATGCCATTTACTTTTATCAAAATGATAATAAAAGACGAATAACCAAAGAATAGCTGCTTAATTCTTGCAAAGTTGTATTCCCATAGTTAAACTTATGGTTTTCCAAAAATTTTGAGCATCTGAATACTTACCGAAAATATATTTGACTTTTTCCAGGTGCAGGATCCGGCTTGTCATCCGAGCAAGAACTAACAAAAGTCAATGCTTCGGCTTCAAGATCGCAACTCCAAGTCTGAAATTTTTTTCATTGAATCTATAACAAAAGGTACAGGAAAAGTTGCAGAGTATTGAAATTTAGCCTCTACCTCTCTCCTCCCCCCCCCCCCCCTTACTTGGATTTGGCTTGCCTGCAACTTCGATCAGTGTCAATTTTATAACAAGAACCCAGTGAAAATTAAGCGTTTAAATTTCTTGAGATTTCTTTCGTTGCCACTTTTTTGACAAATCATGCAATTGACTGTGAGTCTCTATCAGGCCCATTTCCTTAAATTAACGGCAGAAATATTATTTACTACTGGTAGCAAGAGGAACATAACGGCCACCGCTAGTCCGCTAGCGGCACTTACAGAAAATTTCTCTCAAAATTCAAATTTCCGCGACTCTGACGGGGTTTCATTAAACACCCCCACAAGCTTGACTTCATTGTTAGCATTAGTGTCAATTCACAAGGCATTCAAGAAATTTCTACTATCATCATTAAGGCATTGGACCACAAGAACCGGAATATTTCTTGGTTTTTCCAAGTTGCACGAAAATTGGTGGCTATCGTCGCTATTGTACAAAGAAAATCTCATGCGTTAATATAGGTTAGGCATTTGATTGTAGGCAGATTTGGAACGGGAATAAAACATCCCGAAAATGACAGGGAACTTTCAGAATACGGATCACCTATGTACTGTTAACTACAATACATTTGAACCACATCTATTAATAATTTGCCGCGATCGGTCAAATATACAGCGTTGAAATTAAAGTGTTAAAGCTCTATATTTGAATTGGAATACCTGTTTAGGTCATATTGCTATAAAAAATAAGTCGAGTCAGATTCTATTACCATACAGAAAGCAATTCTATTTGCTTCAAAATGTTACTATCATTGAGTGAGAGAAATTTCATTTATTTCAGAAAATTTGACGCTCGACGAGAAGGCCTTTTCAGCCATCACATTAAGTAGCAAATGTACAAATTGGCGATAGCAGGTAAGCGTTTAGTCGGTGCATACTGGAAAACGAACTGATACATTTGAAGTGAGAAAAAATGGATTTAGACATATCATCATAAGTGCGAGAGATTAATGAACATACACACATATACGCCCACATAGAACATTGCAAAAACTACTTTTGGTCTTCTGAAGCACTAAACGTTCAGCAGAAATTTGGCAAGCTGGATCGTTTGGTCTAGGTAAGGTCAGCATTAGTATGGAGGAAAATTCTTTGCTGTTGATAGCAGAATAATCGAGCACTATGTGTTCAAGCTGAACTGTAGCTCCTACACAGACTTTAAAAAATATTCAGCAAGTTCAAACTTATACAAATTATAACTAGTAATTTCTCTAGAGTAGTATGTATAATTTAGAGGTCAATTATCGTCAAGATAAAACTTCAAATTCTGTACTTTTCACAGCGTTGATAAGCAGCAACTTTTGCAGTGGATGTTTCACATACAAATTATATAGAACACTGAACGGAATATCTTATGAACCTGAACGTTGGCATGTCCATTAGCATCCGCCTGAGTCGAAATCACCTTGCATTTATTCTGAGATTATCGCAAACATTTCGACAATCCTTAAAGGCAATGTCCTGACAGATTTTGCACTTCCATCTTTTTGCATGTAGGCCTTTTCGATTCGTAGACCGAATTTGCGCTTTGAAATAGGTGAAAAGACTTTTTCGGGGCGTTTAGGCGATTCCTAAAAGGCAGCTCGGACGAAAATTTCGATGGAAAGTTGGGAGGCCTGGCATGAAGACCCTGCTGCCTGTAATTTTTGCTTTGGATAGCATGCACAATGCGGCAGAGCGGTCGTGGGGTTCCGCGCTGAACGGTAAGAGAAGTCGTCCGACCGCGCGTCGGTTTAAGGGCTATTTTCTCGGCTCTGCGGGAACATCAACCAGCTGGACTGCGCCTGGAAGTCGGTGGGATGCCGGAGAACCCCACTATAGCAATACTCCTTAGAGTGCAAATCTGGAACACTGCCTTCAAACGCTCTTTTATACAAATATGCTTTATCCCATCACTTTCCATTATGTATGTCAAGATAGCGCGCTCAAAAAAGGTCTCCTTTTTTCTTAGGAAACAAGTGGATGTTTTTTAAGTCATAAATGAATTAAAAAGTACTTGTTCTTCCAAAATGTTGAGATGAATGTATTTTTGAAGAGGACCATCTCGAAATCCACAGAGAGTCAATTCTTGAACTGGTGTAGGGTTCGCAACTCTTTAGTGTTTTCGCAAAAAAGTAAAATTAAGCTATGCGAATTAGATATTGTCTTCTACTGAAGTTTTCTTATCTCAACTTAACAGAATATCTAGTCGCTAGATAGAGAGCTGCCTTTTTGCTTTGTGTGTACTAAACTTGTTATGCAGTTGAAGGTAGGGCTTTTTGATTAGAACTTGCAAAAACACTTTTCCTTTGTAAAAAGCGCTTTCTAACATACAAAGGGCCTTTTCCATTACAGGACGAATTGCATATATTGTGTAATTATAGTTAGTTAGCTTGCTTTATGTACGTATAACTATGTGTAATTTTTTCCGAAGAAAACAGATTTTCCTTTTCTTTTCCCTCCCTCCAGCAAGAAGGGCAATTTTTTATTACGGTAGTGGTACGGTAATAAAGGTCATGTAAGATAAAGTGATAAAAACTCCATGAAAATTGTTAAACTCTATAAAAACTGCTGAACTTTAGTTATGAAGTCTCTCATTTCACTCATAACAGCTTTCTATGAAACGAGCAACTTACCAGTTTGTTCATAGCTTTTCCTTTGGGCAAATATTCTCCATCTTTTGCATTTTTGGCATTAGTCTCTAGTCCTCTAGCCACAAGCGAGCGTTTTCCATTTATCACATCCAAAACCTGGCTGTTGATGGCATCTTCTGATAGTCTACCATTTTCGCACTGTGCGGCTCCTGTAGTTTAGGTTGGATTGGCAATACTTAACTAAATTCTTTGAGTTTAAAACTTACCCTTGCACACGGAAGTTAACACTGCCAGAATCTGAAAAGTGATAATTTTCATCATGCAATATTAAAGATACACACACTTAAACAATACCCCAAGCGTATAAAAGAGAAAATTGTGAACCATTTCTATGAAATATTCGTGTAATAATTCAACAAAATTGCCTGTTTGGTGATCCGCTTGTACCTGATTATCTGGCGATTTTGCAATTTTTCGTATTGCGTATTAAAAACCCTATTTTAGCACTCGGTTATGAATCGTGCATGTTTCATTGAAAAATTGCAAAGTTTGTCGAGTATTTTGCTTTTATCTTGAGCGAATTATAATGAGCTGTACGTGTGACGATTTGAGGTTGGAACATATTGCAGATTAATGGCTTTCAAATTTTCTTCTAACTGAATTTGAAGGTTTTGATGCGATGTTCGTTTAGATGTGCCATATGCAGGTTGAATCTATTTTTCTGATAATTCCCTATATGGAGGCGAAACTTGGAATTCTTTCCTTCATTTTGAAACATAGCGTTGAAGAAGAAACAGGCTTTTTGCGATATACCCCGATAGTAAGGTAGAGCAGTAAAGAGACCTTTATTGACAGTCTGATAGGAAATTATGTGGTACATATATGGTATATGGTATTATATGGGACATGGTACATGGTGTAAGGCAGTGGCGGTCGCAGGATTCCGTCCGGGGAGGGGGGGGGGAAGGGAAGGCGGCAAAATTTTTTTTTTCAAATGGAGGTGCGCTCCGAAAAGGAACCATGCACTCCGAAATATTTTTGCGTGCTACTTAAAATTATTGTGGGCCCATGACGCTCAAAATCTACCCCCGAAAATTTTTTTTACAAGACTAATTTGAATTTTTAAATAAAATTTTAGAATTTTTCAATTATTTACAAGAATAAACAAATCACTTGCGCACTTTTATAACCTATGTACAAGAACTTAACTCATAATAAACTTGTAGAAAGGGTAAGAAAAGGCTTATTTTGAAGTGAATTTGTATATGGCTGTCGAAGATCAGCGAAAGGCTTTGGAGACCTAGTAAATTTTTGCTCGAAATTTCCGAAGATGATTTAGCAGAGTGAACAATTGTATATGAGAAAAAATTTATTAAACATTCGAACTACTAAATTACTCCTGTCGGGATCATCTCTCTTTAAGGGTGGAAATGCCGAAAGTTCCGCACAAAGAAAGTGTTGCAAGACAACCTGTGGGTTTCTCTTCGTGATAGGAATTTTCTTGACAAACTTATCATTTTTGATCAAGAGTTTTTACTCGTGTTGCAAAAGAATAATCCTTATTTCAAAAGTATAGCACGCTTTTTCTCGTTGAATGCGAGAACCTCGGCGGCGTGGAGCCGCAGAGCGATCTAGCGATCTGTCTATTGCCAAGGTCCCATATTTTTTCGTTGCGAGACGTTAGAGAACATTAGGTCGCTAAATCGGAGTTCCTCGAACTCCTGCAACAAAAGCGCACTTCTCTTCATCGTAGCTCATGTTATTTGTCCGCGTGAGTGGAGTTCATTGGAGACTAATCTCCTTACGAGATGCGGTACGAGGTCCTTTTTCGTGGGGACGTCAGTTAAGATAAAAAAAAGCGTTTTGTTCAGTACCCGTAACATAAAGGTAAATAATTTCATAAGATTCCTAACAAAGGGCTTTTTTCGCACAGCTTGGAAGCACCGTCCACCCAGATTCTCGACTTCCATTTTTGATCGTTCCGGGAAATTCTCATGTCCCTGGTTCTGAACATGAAGTCGAGAATCCGCGAAAACCCCGACAATCCTGGTTCCGAAAAACCCGCAGGCCGGTTTTCCGGAAAGCTGATTGGACGCACGAACGGGCGGACATTACTCGAGGGCGTGGTGCCGACTTGCGATTTTCATGCATCTTATCCAGGGTAAAGCGGGGTGTGTGGCACGCCACACCGGGGGATCGTAAGGGGGCGGGGGTAGGTAAGGGGGGGGTCATATTGACCTAGGGTCAATCGCGGAAAGGTGACTGACTAGGTGATTTGAAGGAGGCACACCTCAAAAGCTGTTAGACAACCAACTCCAATAGCTGTTAGATAGTTCGTAAATAGTCTCAATTCTAATTCTAATAACTGATTCTTTATGATGCAATGCATTCTGCAAAATCCAATTCAATGACACCGACTTTCAATACCTTACACCTACCTACCTGACAAAGAGGCCCTATCACGCTAAACAAGTATTATTATCGTAATTAGCATGTAGGATAACCCCTATGCGCCAAGTTTCAGCGAACTCTGAGCTGTCCGAGTATAAACGAGCTTGTATGAAGCAGTAATTCCAAACATGATTATCTTCATTTCAAAGGCGTGTAAGTTACCTCTTCTTGCACTCAATAAAAAGCACTACCCCTTCTTTCCTTGCATGAGAAATCCCACTTTAAGAAACCTCCAAGCTGTGGAATCAGGAGACTGCCAAGTCCCAACTACAAACTTCAATGGTTGCGCTTCCATCAACCATTACCTATGCTAAAGAAAAACAATCTAGCTCAAACTTCTGCTGCGTGTAGTACGAGGTCTCGCCTTCCAAACCATATACAAAAAGTTTGAAAAATATCCTTTTGAAGGTAAGTTAATGGGGTGTGCCCCCCCCCCCCAAAGGCTGTGGCTGCCACAGCTTTTAAGGGGGGTGGGGGTGCCACACCCCGTTAACTTACCTTCAAAAGGCTCAAACGAAAACCTTTCTTAGACTATTCCACTGAGCCATCCTTTCCCTCTTCACAGTAGCATTTGCTCCCCAAAGCGCGTCCTCTAAGAAAAGATACAGCGGATTTTCTGAACCCTATGCGCTGAAGGCACGGCTCTGAAAAGCGTTAGAAATATTGGGGTACGGTAGGGGTCGAGAAGTGCGGACATGCGGACACACCAAGGGCGCGAGCCACGAGGCTTTGAAATCCGCATTCTTCATTCTTCATTGCGGTTCATTTCCATTGATGTTTTCGTCAGTTTCTATCTCTCTAGAGGTGTTTCTTCGCGTAATGGATTTCGTTTACAAGCTTGAATACTCTGCATTATTTTCATCTCAGGTTTTATCCACCAAAGGCAACTAGATCAGTGGAAGACTCTATTCACGAGTTTATGTTTATCAGAAGCAAATCTGCTAAAGGGACTTTAATACAGCAGGCTTTATAGTTCATCGTCAAAGGGTTAACCAGGTAGGTACACATTCATAGTGAAGTTTTTGGATTTTGTATCGTTTTATCTTCCTTGTCTTTTTTCTTGGTTTTTTCTCTTTTCTGTTGGTATGTCATACAGTCGGAAGTTTTCTGCTAATGTGCACAAGTGCACATCTTTTGTGGTGTTGGTGCCGGGCTGCCATATAAATAGAAAATGCATGACATGTAACCCTCACCTTTTCTCAAACTATGTTGTGCCTAAGGATAAAGTAATAATACACACAAGGGCACAATATAAGGGAGCCATGGGCAACCCTGACTCAAAATGCTGGCATACATTGGCAAGAAAATAGTCGACTATATTTGTAATGGCGGAAAAAAATAAGCAAACCACCTGTAAAAATCCGCAATCCATTGAACTTCTCACCCCCCTATTTTACAGGTCAACAGCTACATAAAGAATCCATATTAGTATTTCTCTATTAATTCTGAAACTAAAGTAGATAGGCGAAAAGGTTAGCGCCAAGAAAACTAACTCAAGCTTATACATAAACTGCACCAACTAGGAATCCAAATCGGCACAGCATATTATAGGTGTGCAACAGTGGCGGTCCCAGGATTTCGGACCGGGGGGGGGGGCAAAAAATTTTTTCAAATGAAGGTGCGTAGCGTTAGCCACGCACCCCGAAAAAATTTTTGGGGTGCTTCTTATATTTTTTCGGGCCCTAGACCCCTAAAATCTAGAAAAAGGGGGATTGGCGTCAGCCACGCCCCCGAAAAAAATTTTTTACAAGGCTAATTTGAATTTTTAAAAATTTTTAAAAATTATTTTAATTGTTTACAAAAATAAACAAGCCATTTGCACATTCTCACAGGATAACACGATTGAACCAGCTTGGTTTGCTTGTTTTTTGACCCACTTAATCGCCGCTGTCCATCTGGTGATCTTTTGGGCTTTCTGTTTTGCCAATTTTTGCAACTACGATAGCGTCCTGAGATACGCTACGTTAGCTATATTCCCTTCTGGCGCATATATGTACACCGGTGTACACAGGTTCGCCGGATCCCAACCTTCGGACACGCCACGTACAACTAATCATGCAGACAGGAAGTTTCTGAATCCATTCCTCTGCCTTTGCGCTTTGTTGATCGTCACAGAGAGTGCAGATCCTACCGGAAACTGCAGTTGCTTGAAGTCGAAGGGCATATCGGAGGGGGTCAAAGGAATTCGTGAATAAAGGCAACCTCTCCTTTTGGCTGACCCATCAATATAGTCGCTATTATGGCTTATTTTTTGGCATGTGGTTTCTGATGCAAAGCTTTGTCCCACTGCACGACCTCGTTGAGTCGATGTTACGAAGATGCATGATCGGCAAACCTACCTTCAAATCAAAAATGTGAGGTGGTATCCCATTGGGCTCGAGTGTTGGTGAGAAAATAAACAGCATGTCCACGCAAGTCCATTTTATCCAGACGTGTATGTTTGATGGAGGTCTAGGTTGACTGTTCAAAACCTGAGCATTGGTAGAATTCACTTGTTCATTTTGAAGCGCCAGAATTGCTTGCTTGCAAAAATCCCTATTGTTGAAAATGGTAACGGTGTTCGAAAAGATCTTGATGAGCTCCTCAACCGACTGAATTACGCAAGAATCTGGCGGAAATTTTTCATACCAGAATTTGATTCGGTGGAAAATCTACCTTTCTCAAGAAACAACAGCTGTTGCGCAGCTTTGGCAGTTTCATTGTCAGGGAGGTAAAGCGCATATTTGTTGTGAGAAGCGGTCACGCTTCTCCAAAGATAAGGAGCTTTGTGGCAAGCATTCAGATCATCCGCTAGCGTCGACCGCGGAATCGGTGGAGTTTGACAAAAGTCGTCTACCAGTGCCTTTCGTTAATCTGTCGTTCCCTCTTGTTTTCTGTAGTGTGGATTCGAGGGCTTTTAAGGATGTCTTATACGCCATAGTTACATTCACCCCCTGATTTTA